TCTAAATATATGAATCCCTCCTTGCAAAACTAACCGGATTGGACAGATGATTGAAAGTGTATCCATAGCTATTCAAACTTCAAAGCATTCAGCTTTAATAAATCACTTTCTGGTTTGGCAGTAGTTCTGATTGAAACAGTGTTCAATGGTGTTCTCTCAGGCCGAAGAAAGGGAGAATGTGACCATGCCAAATACTGATCAATTCAAGTGAGATTCAAACCAGTCAAAGATTTGCTGAGACTGCAAACTAGTCATTTCATGATAAGCAAAAGCAAGATTCATTTCCTCCTGAATGTGATTAACCAATGATTTATCTGGAAGAAGAATATTTCTCTCCTGAAGAACTGTTTTCCAAGGTATTCTACGCCCATCATCTCTCATATAACTATTTTTGTCAATAAAGCCCTTTTCTGTAAACAAATCAAACAATTTTCTTGAAAGGGTTAGATCAAGACCTGGGATTCTGTTAGCAAAAAAATCAGGTGTTAATGGGAATTCCATGCATTTAATTTCTGTGACATCAACACCTTTCTCCCTCAGAACTATTAAGTACTTTTCAATCCTCCGCCTCCTATTTTCATCTTTCGGCATGTGCACAAAAAGTATAGGTGGGTAATCCTTTGTAATTTCCATGTGACCCAACACCCCTTCAGCAATCATTAGAGTAATACCTCTGAATCTCATATCTGTTGCAAGTACTGAGACAAAATATCCGCCCGAGGAGGCACCCAAAGCAAAAAGAGGCAGCTTTTCAAGATTTTGTTTCACAACCCAACTCTCAATGATGTCTTTGACAATCCGTCTTTCGGTCCTAAGTGACCAGCATCTTCCATTACTTGATATGGAGAGGACAGCAAAATTTCTAGCCAAAGCATGCAGCACGATGAGCCTCTCTTCAGGTAAACCAACACAGTTTGAGCATTTGGGTGACTTATCCCAAAAATTTGCTGCTCTACCATTACAACCATGGGACAAGAAGAGCACTGCCTTAGGCGAGTCAGGTATCTGCCATATAAAATCAGTCCCATTCCGGAACTCTACATTCGGGTCTAATCGAACCAAAGAATCAAAGCTGTTCCATTTTTGGTTCAAAATCTCAGACATAGAACTGGATTTATCAGCATTTTTTCCAAACAACGCCAATGCTACCAATATTAGAAGCAGCAATGCAACCAAAACTGGTAATCGAGCATTTGATGTACTGTTGGACTGCTTCAATAATCTTTTCCCACGTCTAAACATGGCTGGAAAATATAAAACGTAACACCATCATTTTCTCCCCCACAAAATTTTGCAGTAAGTCCAAAAAACAGTAGAGAAGATCACAGAAAAGCATGCTGGTTAATATTCAGGCGGTAACAAAAGCATGATCTCTACTTGTATCCAAAAAGGAAAGTAGAGAACAAAATCCACATTTCACCTTAAAAATTAAAAATGCATTCATAACGTTTAAGGGTTTGGGGCCTTTATATTCAGACCAGAGTTCCCCTAATCTATTTTGACAAAATTAAGCACATCACCTTGAATTATAGCTAATCCCATATGTAAAATGAATGGGGAAAACCGAAATGCTTAAAATTATAAATTTCCGATTGAAAGGTGTTGTAAATTCATCCAGACTATAATAATTGACAGAGTAAATAAGACGCATCAACTCCCAGATAGTAAATTCAGAATTTAAGAGTACCTGGAACCATTAATTAATCCAAAAAATATTGCAAAGTTAACAATTTTGCGAGGTTTTTAATCTACTTTTGCTGTGCGGAAATTTTGGTCGCGGTGTGCGTGCCGGTGTGGGTGTGCGTGGGCGTCGAGGGAGTTAATTGTTCCAATGGTCACTAACCTTAGAGTCATATCTTTGATTGGTGACTGAAGTTTAAAATGTCTAATTTTGCTCATTGATCTTAAGAACATGTCTTCGATTGCTCGTTCAATTTTAAAATGTCAAGTTTTGACTGCTAAACTTTGAAAAATATTATACATTACTCACTAATATTTGAAAAATATTGTACATTACTCACTGAATTTTGCAAAATATTGTACATTACTCATTGTAAACTCAATATTTTTCAAAACTCAACAGTTATACTAGTGAATAATGTACGTTATATTTCAAAGTTCAATAGTCAAAACTCTACATTTTAAATTTCGGTGAGCAATCTAAGACGTGGACTTAAATTCAATGAGCAATAGAAAACATTGACATAAATTTAGTAATCAAAACTCAACATTTTAAACTTTAGTGATCAATTAAAGATATAGGCCAAAGTTCAGTGACCATTGGAACAATTAACTCGCACCGAGGTGATAGTTGACATGGATGGGTAAGCTTGATTGGATGATAAAATTTTCTAACTCCTTAATATGTATTTAATTATTAATTGTTTTAAGTTTATTTGTGCTCTTTGAGCCTTGAGAATCATTTTTCTATTTTTTTATTTTTTAAGAGGAGAGTAATAAGTCATTTAATGATGACAATGGTAAGAATAACAAGTTTTCTTATATAAGTGAAATATTGATTGTTATGACTGAAGCTAAAGTAATAATGTGTTACAAATGAAAGGAAAAATTTAATAAATTAATTGCTGGAATATAGTGAAAGACAGAATTCCTCGTTATAAGTGTGTTGGTTGTGTATTACGTAAAGTGGATTAGCTAGGTAATTGTCCCTATATATATAAGCATCCAATCAAGAGCTTATTGCCTTTTGTCCAATCAAGTGATAGTTCTGACTACGATCTGTGTGCTATTATCATGTTTGAAGAGATTTAATTAGACGTTGAGTTCGCCTGATTGATTTCACCTTAGCATATAGTTGTAACTTAGATCATGATTATAGCATGTCTAGGCAATCGTTACTCTATCTTGATTGGTGGATTGTGAGAGGTTGGCGTTAGAGTTGACACTTGTCCTTTTTAGCAGTGATCGTTTGAATTGCGTCGATGTCGTTGAAAACACTTTTTCAATGGGGTTAATGATAATGTTACAGATGATGGTGGACTCATGTCAAGTTCAATGGATGAGGTTTTAGTTTGACCTCATGTTTTAACTCGAGGATTTTTACAATTAATCCCCTTCTGATCCTTTTTGATGTGGGTTTGAGATTTTCATGAGCTCAAAACATTATCGTTGATGATGGATTATGCTAAACAAAAGGTAGAGGATACATTTGTTACATTTCTTAAATTTTGGAGATATAAAATGGAAATTTCCCTTTAACTTTTAATAAAAGATTTAAAAATTTTATTCACATTAAAAAGGGGTGAAAAAATGAGAGAAAAACAAAATCCAAAAATTGAGGAGTAGAGGAAGATACTTCATAGGTAATTGAAAAATGAGTTAATTGTTTCAATAGTCGCTAAACTTAGATTTATATATTTGATTGCTCATTGAAATTTAAAATATCGGATTTTGATCACTGAATTTAGATACACGTCTTCAATTGCTTACTAAAAGTTCAAATGTCGAGTTTTGGATACTGAACTTTTAAAAATATTGTACGTTACTCACTAACATAACTTCTGCCTCAAACTTCTAATGGAATTGGTAATGTGGCTGATGGAATGCATACTTGAAACTTCGGTACGCAATTAAATTTTAAAATGGTCGAATTTTGGTCATTAAACTTTGAAAAATCTCTTCTATTGTTTACTAAACTTTGAGATGGTCAAATTTTGGTCACAAAATTTTGAAAAAACATCGAACTTTTGGCCACTAAATTTTGAAAAAAAGTCTTCTATTGCTAACTATATACTTGGATTTAACCACACATTTTCAAAAAAAATCACAATTTAAAAACTCGATAATCTCAAATTTTAGTGGCCAAAATTCAACTATCTCAAAGTTCAATAGCCAAAATTCGACCACCTCAAAGTTTAGTGAGTATGATCGAGTTTTTGTCACAAAATTTTGAAAAAACGTCTTCAATGGCTCACAATAAATTTGGATTTAATTAATATTTGTCATTAAAATTTGGTTTTAATTAAATAAAAATTTATTTTTCTCTCCCTTTTTATCAAACATACATTTTTCAATAAAATAATATTACATTTAAATTTTAAAAAAAATCCTTATTTTTAACCACACATCCTTTAAAAAATTATTATTCATTTATTATAATTTAAAATAATGGAGCCCGAACAGTGGCTTAACAACAAACAAATTCATTATGTGTTGTTATAAAATTCAAAAATTATAATGAAAATATCTTCAAATTCTAAAAATATAAATTACATTTAAATTTAACTACTGTGTAATTGAGTAATCATTCCCATTGGTATAAACAATACTTGCAAAATTGTGCAAAAGAAGTGACTAATAATTACAATGAAACACACAATATGTTTATCGTAAACATTAAATTAAATCCGAATTTTTTTAATAACGAATTTTGGACCTTGTTTGATGGCCATTATTTAAAAAAAGATTATTCTTAAAATAGTGATTTTTTAGAGAATACGTGGTTACAAAGTTGGAAAAAAATTTGAATTTACGTTCAAGATATTTTATTGTATGGATATGTGTTTAAATCCAAATTATAGTGAGTAATAGAAGACTTTTTCAATGTTTAGTGGCCAAGGTTCTACGTTTTTAATGTTCAGTGACAAAATTCGACCACCTCAAAATTCATTGAACAATATAAGACATTTTTCAAATTTCAGTGAAGAAAATTCGATTATCTCAAAGTTTAACTGTGCAACAGGGTGTCACGTGTGCATTCCGTCAATCACATCATCAATTTTGTTAGAGATTTGAGACGGAAGATATGCTAGTGAGTAATGTACAACATTTTCCAAAATTCAGTAATCAAAACTTGATATTTTAAACTTTAATGAACAATAAAAAATATAGACCTAAACCAGTGATCAAAACCCTATCTTTTAAACTTCAGCGAGCAATAAAAAACGTGGGCTTAAGTTCGGTGATCATTGAACAATTAACTCTTAAAAAATTAAAGGAAAATTCTGCATGTACAAAATTTTTATTCACAGAATCTGGTCAGAACTCTCACTTTGCGCAGGCCCCTTGCGTGATATAAAATGCCAAAAAACCAATCACCCACCCTACCAATGTATCTTTTTTCTAAAATACCTTTGAGCAAAAATTCTAAAAGTGTAGTGCAAGTCAAATTTAAAACCAGGGGCGAGGGCGACGCCTATATATTCTTCTTCTCTCAACCTTTACCTTCAGTTAGGCTATTTTCTCGCTCTTCGTGTTCAACTGAAAATCATTACTGTGTAAGTGCATTATTTCCTCCTATCCAAGTTCGTCCGAGACAATATATATAAAAAATTATGTAAAGATGCCAATGTCAGTTTGACTTTTTCTATTTTTATGAAGATTCAATATTCATGAGTTTCTGATGAATTAAACCCCAATTCCCACCTTATGATTTCACTTTCCATTAATTGATATCTTTTTTTAAACACGAATTTGGTATATATGAGTGTTTATCAAAGGCCCATGTGAAAATATTTCAAAATTTTGAATCTGTACTCGTATTTGGAAAATCTGCATATCGTCCCAAAGAGGTAAAATTTTTAATTTATTTTGTATGCAATATGTATGATCTCTGTCGGCCTCAAGAAGCTTTGCTCTTTTCATGGGTTCTCGTAATATTCTGTTACAATTTGATCCAATGCCTGTAATCCGGTGCAATGCAATGCAATGCTCAAAATCTGGTTGCTTGAGAATCTGAGATCAGGGGATTGAATTTTTATTTACTGTAATTCGTAGATCTCGGAATATGGTATTGTTTTTTACTTTTTTGGTGTTGCTAAATGCTTCTAACTTATGATATGAATGTCCTTTCAGATCTCGTTTCGATATGGCAAATCATCAACCGAAAAATATTCTGATTACTGGAGCTGCTGGTTTCATAGCATCCCATGTCGCAAACAGGCTAATTCGAAATTACTCCGAGTACAGAATTATTGTTCTTGACAAACTGGATTACTGTTCGAATTTGAAAAACCTTGATGCCTCGCTATCATCACCAAATTTCAAATTCGTGAAAGGAGATATATGCAGTGCCCGCCTTGTCAATTATTTACTTGATACAGAGTCCATTGACACAATTATGCACTTCGCAGCACAAACTCATGTTGATAACTCATTTAGTAACAGCTCTGATTTTATTAAGAATAATGTTTACGGGACTTGTGTCCTTCTTGAAGCTTGCAAAACTTTTGGTCAAGTTAGGAGATTCATTCACGTCAGTACAGACGAGGTCTATGGCGAAACAGATGAGAATGCTGTTGTGGGAAATGATGAGAATTCACAGCTTCTCCCAACAAACCCATATTCAGCATCCAAAGCTGGGGCTGAAATGCTTGTCTTGGCATATGGACGATCATATGGTCTACCTGTGATAATCACAAGAGGGAACAATGTTTATGGGACACATCAATTTCCTGAAAAGTTAATTCCTAAATTTATGCTATTAGCAATGAAAGGAAGGCACCTTCCAATTCAAGGTGATGGGTCCAATATTAGAAGTTACCTCCACTGCGAAGACGTTGCAGAGGCTTTTGATATCATACTCCACAGGGGTGAAGTAGGTCATGTTTACAACATAGGGACAGACGAGGAGAGGAGAGTTGTTGATGTTGCAAGGGATATTTGCAGGTTATTTTCATTGAATCCAGATGCTGTGATAAAGTTTGTGGAGAACAGGCCCTTTAATGACCAAAGATATTTCTTGGATACTCAAAAGCTGAAAAATTTGGGATGGTCGGAGCGTACTGGATGGGAGGATGGTCTAAGGTTAACTGCTGAGTGGTATATGAGAAATCCTGATTGGTGGGGAGATGTTTCTGGGGCATTGCTCCCTCATCCAAGAATGCTATCCATGCCTAGGATCAAGAAAGAGAAGAACTTTGGTGTTGGAACTCTTGAGTCGTCCTATGTGCTAAATGATTGTGGCCAGGATGGTCAGGATCGAATAACATATCTTAAAAATTCCATCACTGGACATAAAAGCCGTCTCTGACATTCTCGATTTATGATACAACTCGTGATGGTCTTTCTGGAAATCTGTGAGAACAAGTGGTATATGGGGTGCTTTCTTCAGCAGTTGCAGTATTTGTATATTTCAGAAACTCGTTGTCTTGATGGCACTGGAAGGACTCAGTTATTTATTTCACAGATGATTCTGCTACCAGAGTTTGACTTGAACCAGGGTGGTGGAGCTTCATGATCTGTTAACCAACTTATTGCCAACGTTAAATTGACAAGGTTCAGCCACCAAGTTAGTGAGTCGAATGATCTCCAGAAAGTCGAATAAAGAGTTTACCCAAGTTGGTAGTATACTCCAAAAGTAGATAGAAAACGAACATCGCTATTGATCATCCTTATTGAATGTATTTATATTTTATGAACAAAAGCTAGTGTAGTCGATTGCTTGCCCACCGTTAGAAATGATTTTTTGAACATGTTTCCATTTCTTGTATATTGTTTCTTCGATTAGACTTGGCTCTAGATGTTCTTTATTTGACTTGCCTTCTAACTTTGAGTGCTGAAAATTATGTCAAATTTTTTTAGTGCTATTTGTATTACATTATAAATAGTTTGATTTAACATATAACAACTATTTCTTGATGGTAGCTTGCATGAATTATGTACCACTAAAATATTACATTAATAATTTTCATACTATTTTCGTGCAATTCTATAGATATCACACCTGAGATTGATACTGTTATTTTCGTGCAATTCTGTGCTTCAAACACATTCTTAACATATTTGTTTAGATTAATGTTTCAATTATGAATCAACACAACCAGGGGGTTCCCATAGGTCACTTGACCCTTCAGTTTTTTTTTTTTTTTTTTTTTTTTTCGGCCTTAGTTTTCGGGCTTACTATGGAATGTCAAACGAAGTTGAAATATTACATTTTTAATATTATTTTAAAGTACTCATGTCATAGTATTTCACGTAGTTAATGGTGTGCTAAATGACCAATCATAGCAAATGTTACGACGCGTTAAAGTAGGTCGTTCCAAACTAATATTTCGAGAATTTTAATAACAAGCTAACTTTAAAAATTTTTCGACGATTATATGCTAGCCGTATCCATAAATATTCTATATCCCCTTGAATCTCATTTTGAGAACTCTATGATAAATATATTGAATGATCTAAATGAATATCGAAAATAGTTAAATGTACATCAAAAGTGTATACCAAAAAGAGACATATAACTCGTCTTTTTTGAAAAAAATATCAATTATTTTATTAATGCTTATTATTTTTGTGTGACAAATTTTTCAATATAATTTACATCATTTTATTAGAAAATTTTATATATGAAAATTTTTTAGATGTAAAAATAATCAAGATAAAAAAGTAGTACAATAATTTATAATCCATATAAAGTAATAAAAGAATTTTCGTCACTTTTTAAAAACAAATTTGATTGTGACCCCCTAATGTAAAATGTCTGTGTTCGCCCCTGAACACAACTCCAAATAAATTTTATTTTGTAGTGATATGAAGTATATACAAAACTATATCAATTTTGATCAACCGTGTTCGTAAAAAAAAAAATGCGAAAAGCTTGAGTCAACCAAAAATAAATTTTAAAAGCATTTTTGAAAGAATTTGATGCTATTCTAGTGAAATTGTGTATAAAGTTATTTTCTAAAGAGTAATTTCAAAAAAGATTATCTTTAAAGATAAGTGAGTTTTGTTTATTCAAAAGGAAATCTATATATTTAACAAAATAAAAAAAAAATTTTATATTTTTTTCTATAATTTCTTATTAGTCAAGAATATTTAATAAAAAGAAAAAGGAAATTAGGATAAAAGAGGGGGTATTTATTTAAAAGGATTGGTCAAACTAAACATTTGTCCAAGAAGACTAAGAACTAAAGCTTTTAGTCAAAAGGCCTAAAGTCATTATATATGGAAAAAGGACTAAAATATCCTTGTATGTAAAATGATGTTATTGCCATAATTTTCATTTCAATTTCCTTTCAACCCTAATCTCCTTCCCTCCTCTATGAACGACTCGACTACGGTAGCTGTCTCCATACTAATTTTCTTATCATCATCTTCTTCTCTAATTAATGAAATCACAAAATCTACATTCTCATTCCCTTGAATATTCATTTGGTTGAAGTGAATAATAAAGTCTTGCTATATTTTTATTGGGCATTTGGAGAAGAATAGAGGGTATGGTAAATTTTCAATATTTGAGCCACTTTCTTTTTCCATTGTTTTGAATCATCTGTTCATGTTGTTGTATATGTGTTTGTGGTGTTCATTTGTCAATAATGATTTTGAATTCATTTTATGATTAGATTGGATTGGATCTTTAAATGAGTTACTTTCCAATCTTATTCTCATTACCCCTTATTTGTTTTGGTGCCACAGTTGGTTTGTTGCTAACTGCATTTCCCTCCTTCTTTCTCCTCATGTATATGAATTTAACCGGGCATCTATCATTTTCCCCCATCCCGAAAGCCACATTGTCCTCAAGGTGGAACTCGGGGAACTGTTGTTGGATGATGTTGAAGGGTTCCCATGTTGCTTCAAAGTTGGACAAGTTCTTCCATTTGATCAGTACTTCCTTCCCTGCATTGGGTGGCCCTTTGTCTAACTTGTAGGATTGCCTCTGGTTTAACTTGTAACTGTTCTTTTGCCTCAAGTTGTGGGGGAAGTTGCGAGATGGACTGACTAGAACCAATAGCTTTGCAAAGCTGGGAAACATGAAAGATTGAGTGTATGGCTGCAGTAAGGGAAAGCTTCAATTTGTATGCTACCTACCCCACCCTTGCTTCTACTTCAAACGGCCCATAATATTTGGAAGACAGCTTAGCATAGGGACGAGTTGCCACAAAATTCCGACGATAGGGACATAATTTGAGATATACCGTGTCCCCCACTTCAAATTGCATCTCACGACGATGCCCATCAGTTGCCAATTTCATTCGTTGTTGAGCACGAGTTAGCTGACATTTCAATTCTTGAAGAGCTTCATCCCGTTCTACAAGCGACCTTTCGACAGCTGAAACGACAGTGAGACCTTTCTCAATAGGCAGAATGGAAGATAGGTCGCGGCCATACACAATCTGGAAGGTGATGTGTTTTGTTGCGATGTGGAAAGAAGTATTTTATCAAAACTCCACCCAAGGTAACCACTGACTCCAAGAGCAAGGTTTGTCGGATGTAAAACACCTCAAAAATGTCTCCAGTAACCGGTTCACGACCTCCGTCTGTCCATCCATTTATGGATGGTAGACTGTGCTACACTTTAAGCTAGTTCTTTGAGCCTTAATAACTCTGTCTAGAACTTGCTCATGAACACTTTATCTCCGTCAGAAAGAATTGACTAAGGTATGCCATGCAAGCGGACTATTTCTTTGATAAAGATGGCTGCCACAATGGGAGCGATGAATGGGTGTTTTAGGCCAATAAAGTGGCCATATTTGCTCAGCCGGTCAACTACCACCAGAATAGTGTCCTAACCTCCTGACTTTGGCAGTCCTTCGATGAAGTCCAAGGAGATATCCGCCAAATTGAATCTGGAATGGGGAGTGGTTGTAGATAAACCTTACACCGAGCTACGAATTCACGAACATCTTTCTTCATCCCGCTCCAATACACATCTCTGGCCATCCTTTTGTAAGTATTACAAAAGCCTGAATGCCTACCTATTTTGGTGTTATGGCTTTCCTGTAATTCTATTGTCACAAACAGGGAGTGTTTAGGCAACACCACCTTTCCCTTATATAGCAATGGCCATCCAACAGTGAGTATCCCTCCTTCATAGTTTATCCTGACTGCAACTCCATTACTAGCTTCCTCAATTCTCCATCTTCTGCCACTTCTTCCTTGATTTCCTCCATGTGAACCACCCTAGGAATGGTGATGTTCAAGAGGCTTAGAGCTGGTTCCATTCTTAAAAGAGCGTCTGCTGCCTTATTCTTGAATCCCGGGTGATATTGAATCTCAAAGTCAGAACCTAACAACTTGGTCAGCCACTTTTGATGTTCATTGCTTCCCATGCCCTGTTCTAGGAGAAATTTCAAGCTTCTTTGATCTATTCTCACTATAGAGTGTCGGCCTAACAAGTAGTGACGCCATTTTTGAATTACAAACACAATGGCCATCAATTCTCGCATATATACTGACTTACGATGCGCATTCTGGGGTAACATCTGGCTGAAATACGTGAATGGATGCTAATTCTACATTAAAATTGCCCCCAACCCGTGCCCCGAAGCATCAATTTTCACAACAAATGTCCGTGTGATATCGTCAAAGAAAACAAGTACAAACTTCCGAAGGTAAGGTTTAAAAACTTCATTCGTGAAACTTTGAAATGTTGTCGGTGCATTAGTCAGCCCAAATGGCATGACTAGGAATTCATAGTGGCCCTCGTGAATGCAAAAAGCCATTTTGGGAACATCCTCTGCCCTCACCCTGATTTGATGGTACCCAGTCTTTGAGTCAAGCTTCGAAAAGATCTTGGCCCCATGTAATTCATCCAAGAGTTCGTCGATCATGGGAATTGGGAAGCTGGCAGGGATAGTAACCTCGTTGAGAGCGCGATAATCCACACAGAACTGCCAACTACCATCCTTCTTTTTCACCAATAACACAGGGCTTGAAAAGGGGCTGAAACCCGGCTGGATAATTTCTGCAGCTAACATTCCTCTGACCAGCCTTTCAATCTCATTTTTCTGGACATACAGATAACGGTATGGCCTAACATAAACTGGGGCTGAATTTAGTTTTATAACAATTGTATGGTCTTGAGCTCGAGGAGGGGGTAGTTCATCGGGCAATTCGAATATCTCTCGAAACTGTTGCAACACCCCGGTGTACGAATTAGTACCACTGTAGGTTCACTGTTCACCCCCATACTTCCAAGCTCCAATAGAACCCCTTGTCCCTTATCCTTGATTGCCTTAACCATCGACTTCAGAGAGACCTGTGTCTTATGCAAGCTCGGATCCCTCTATAATACTACCGATTCACCAGACAATTTAAACCTCATTGTCAATGTACTCCAGTTCACCTACATCTTGCCCAAGGTTTCTAACCATTTCATCCCCAATATCACATCTGTACACCCTAATTGCAATGGAAGAAAATCATGTACGACATCAATACTTGGCGCAAAGTTACGGTCACTCCTTTGCATATATCGCCACCCCTTACTAACAATCCAGTTCCATGAGAACTTCATAGCTAGTGGTGTACGTGACTGGCAGCACTAGTTGACCCGCTAGCTGTGCTGAAATAAAGTTGTGGGTAGCACCATAGTCGATCATTACTAACACGAGTTGTCCCTAAATGCTTCTCGTGAGCTTTATCGTCCGTTGGGCCGTGAGGCCCACAATCGAGTTAATCAACAACTCAACCAACTCGTCCATCTTTGTCCCCTATTTCACCTCCTTCGTCTCTTTCGGACAGTCCCCGTCCTCCTCCTCTTGTACCACAAGGACTTGGAGCTCTTTGTTGTGACATCTATACCCTGGCCTATACTTTTCATCACATTTATAGCAGAAACCCTTTTCTCTCTTCAGCTGTAGTTCAACGTCCGACAATTTCTTGATAGTCGGTGCCATCCTTGCCGTCAAGCATGGGCGAACTACCATCGCTACCCTAGGAGTGGTTGGGTTTATCATATTTGTGGAGTGGGAGCCAAGTGCATGGTCATAAGAAGTAAATTGTGGGCTGTTAGTGGTTGGGCTGGTGTATTCCATCTTTCCTTTATTTTGCCCATAAGACATAAGAGCCTCCTTCAGTAACTCATTCCAATCTTCCAGTCGTTGGGCCAAATTCATGATATAGCCCAACTTACGAGGTTTTTAACATCCTCACCCTCAGCCTGTATAGGGGCTTTCAACCCATTAATGAAGTTACTCTCCAATACGTCATCTGAAATTGTCGGTAAAGGAGCAACCAGTACTTTGAACTTCCTTCGATACTCTTTGACAGTCCCTTCCTGCTTTAATGCCAAAAGTTTTCCAAAATTGAGCACTCTTGTCAAGGGGGAAACTGTTTTAGCAGCCTTTGTTTCAACTCCTCCCAAATTCGGATGACTTGGAGGCTATCTTCCCATTGATACCAAGCTAGTGGTTTCCCTTCCAAGCAAATCCCTGCCGCCTCTACCTTTTCCCAATCGGATAATAAATTCATGGTAAAATACCTCTCAGTTCGAAATATCCATTCATCAGGGTCTTCCTCGTTAAACATCGTCATTTCCAGCCGTCGGAATCGATTTTCCATTTTCCACAGATCTTCACTGAGTTCCCTGCCTTCCGACCTAGCTCTCGTTCCATTACACTTGGCCAGCGTCTCTGAGGTGATGGTAGGTTTTACAGAACCAGATGCTATTCCTTTTTTCCTTCCAGTCCATCTCTATCCCTTCCCACTTCTTCATGATGAATTCAAATTGTTCCATCATTGACGATAGATCCCTTTGAATCCTTGTCCTCATGATTCCAATTTCTTCTTGTATCTCTCCTTTGATCCTATCCATTCGGGTTTCCAAGGCATTCACTCGATCAGTGATCATCATACTCCCAAGGATGATGCTCTGATACCAAATTGTTAGAACCCTAGGTAATAAGAAGAACTCAAGATTGGAATTACTATTATTTATTGAATGAAATTCTGGAAAAATAAATAAAAGGGAAGCAGATCCAAGGCTTTCGAGAGATCTGGTCCCTCCCAAGAGACTCAACAAACATAAATGAATAAAATAGCTCACCCTCCCATTACATTAATAGACATAAACCCCCAGAATCAATTCCCTAAATTACCCTTCTTAACTAACTAACAGCTCCGGTGCCACAGTTGGTTTGTTGCTAACTACATTTCCCTCCTCCTTTCTCCTCACGTATGTGAATTTAACCGAGGGTCTATCAACGAAGCACGGTATAATAGTGAAATATAACATTTTTATCTATATTTCAACAGTTACTACTAGGGTTTGGGGTTGATTAAGGTCAAGCATAACTTTATGTAAGCATGGTTTGGAAGTGTCTATAAACAGTTAAAATTAGAAACAAATTAAATGGGTGGAGGATAAGTGGGTAGTACTTATAGGTCCTTCGAAATATATGAATAACAAGTGGCTTGAATGTTTATAAACACGAGCCAACACAGGCATCTCCTGAAAATTGGCAGAAGGTTAAAATGAACCTTGTCTTGCCTTTGTTGGGGTCTTAAATAAATATAATAGTTGGGTTATGAGGTCACTGAAAAGATGGGAGGAAGGCAGTAATGAAAAGAATGAGTATTAATAGAGAAGGTGTGATTGAATCGATACTAGAATTAATTACAAGTTTTAGTTGATACAAGATGTAAGACTCCGTATGGCTAATTTATAAATGGTTTATAATGAGGAATAATAGAGGGTCTTATTAAATGTGTGGACAATAATGAGCAATGGTTATGAATGTGCAGTTGAAATTAATGTTTGACTTTGATTGAGTTTATAAACCATTAAAAAATTTGTATCCAAAGGGAGGCTACAATGTTTGCAAGTGCTTGGTGAAGCTATGGTTTTTAATGCTATTTATGTGGTATGCATCCCCATTTGCCTCTACATTGTGAGTCACTTCAAACAATTTCAGAGTTGTGTTTATGGGTTTCTTTGCTTGTTTCTTACATTCCGAATGCTCCACAATTATCTAAGATGAAATGTTCACAGATGCCAATACTTGTCCTTTTTGTGAACCACAGGAATGCACTTCAAAAGAATTTTCTCAAAATGTGACATTCCTCATGCACTGCACAGAGTGAAATTATTCTAGAACTCTCAGCGCATAGGACTAGAGAGCAAAGCTGATCAGAAATCTTTTATCAGTTTACAAATAGGATATGTCTATTGGTGGACATTGTCACCTAGATACTTGGGTCCTGAACCTTACCACACACTAGGAAGTAATTATGAACAATTTCCACATAGAGCAACACCCAAATTTAAATAAGTTGCTTGACCAATGCAGCATTTATATGTGAAACCAACCATTTCAAAATGGTTGAATTATATTTTACGTTTTTGTCTGCATCTGAATTACACGTGAATCGCTTCACGTGTACACCCAAAAGATGTTTGAAAGCCAACCAAAAAACTTGAATTACAGGTGTTTTCTTTGGGGTTTCCCAATATCATTCTCTTGTGCTCAGTTACTAGAAAGCAAATGTCTTCAATAAATGCAGAGGTGGTACCTTTTCTTTTAAGTACATGTTAAACTCAATAGGATTAGATTTGAATCTGAGATCAAATTGAATGATTATATGGGTACACAATACAAGAGTTTGATGGTTTTTGCAAAGTTTAATGTCATTCCTACACTTTACCGATTTCTCTTTATATGTTAGGAAATTGGTTCTCAATTGATGCCAAGGATCCTATTGCCTATGCCATAGTGGAAATTCTTGAAGGAGCTAACATGAAGTCATCAGACTTAAATGGTAAGCTTGAAGTACTCTGATAATTATGAGACTAAAATTTTGTGATTGTAACTGGGAGTGATTCTCAGGGTTGGCCGATCCATATGTGAAGGGACAACTTGGCCCTTACAGATTTTGGACTAAGACTCAGAAGAAAAATTTATCTCCAAAATGGTATGAGGACTTCAAGATCTCTATCTGTACATGGGAGTCGCCAAATGTGCTCATAATTGAAGTTCATGACAAAGATCATTTATTTGACGACCTATTGGTGTATGTTATTGTTACTTCAATATATATACTGAATCATGCATGACAATGTTTAAATGCTTTGTTTCTTAATGAATAATTGATCTCTTACTTCCATAAAGGAGCTTATGCTTTTTATTTCACAACTATCTATGGCATCTCTTCTCCCTTGTAAGATATTGTTCTATCTTGGATCCCTTCTTATCATTTTCGTTCCATGCATTAATTTTGCAATTAGAAAAGCTTCTTCATTATGTAAAACTTATTACTCTATTTGATGAAGGAAAATTTTCCTTATCTCGAAGGATTCTGGATGAAGTTATCTACCAAAATTATTCCTAAGAGATGCTTAATAGTGTAAAACTTATTACTCTATTTGATGAAGGAAAATTTCCATGCTTTCTATTTGGCAATCCAAGTATCTTGCAATTAGTTTTTGTAGTCTCTAATATCCCATACATTATTAAAAATGTATCTGTGTTCAATACAATCATTGATTGCATCTTTATTTTGTTCCTTATGATCTTATTATTGTCTAGATGCTAATAGAGTAGAGATTCTGATAACAACTAAATATTTACTGCTTTAATTCGACTTTTCCTAGAAGCTACTGTTCAGAGTTTCCAATTTTTTCTGTGTACATTAAACTAATAATGTAAATGGTGCAGAAATTGTTCTGTAAACATCAATGATGTTAAAGACATACAAAGGCATGACATGTGGTTGTCCCTTGAGAACATAAAAATGGGAAGATTGCATCTTGCAGTAACTATGTCCGAAGGCGATACTAAGGTATCTTTTGTTTGTATATGTTTATGGCCGATGAATGTAATGCAAAATGCTTAGATGCTTGACACTTCCTTTGAAGGTCACACCCTATTTCTCTTGATTTTGAAGCCCTAAATACTGGCAACTATTTGTTTGTCTGGAGTTGAAAGCATATATAGAAAAAAATAGTTGATTTTCTTCTCTCTCGATGTTGAATAGGTACATTCCCTGGAGCGTACATACATAATTAATTGGCTAATTGCTGACAATGTGTGTTAATTATGTATGTAAAATTCAGTTATTAAATGATGAAGGCTAAGGATCAGAATAAAGGTCATTGTTTTACTGTCAACTTTTTTATCACGATTGTGGTTCTTTTCTATTTCATTGGACTTATATAAGGAGAATTATATATAGGAGGAAAATGATTTCGTTATGTACTGCCACAGTTTTGACTTTGTCTTTCATGTGTCTACAGAAATAAATGGGTATGATAAACTGTCTCTGCATGTATCTACACGCTTGTGGGTTGCCATATATGGGTTGCCATATATGAGTTACCATATATTTGTATTTATGGTTGAAGAGGGACGGGTTGTAGATTTTTCTGTAGCACAGACACTTCAACTAGGATAATATGTTCCTGTCCGATACCTACACTCATTGAACACTCTTTGTAAACATTTTTTTTTTATCAAAAATATTTTAACAAAAATATTTCAACAAAAAAAAATTAATAATAACTATGAAACTAAATTTATACTATATAGATAAAAAACTCTAGAGAAGTTTAGAAAAGAGAAATAGAAGAAAAGTTGGCCGCTGGTGCTGTGCTGTAAAGAAAGTAAAATAATAAGATGCAAATAAAAGAGTTTATTCTATGTTAGTTAATGAGTCGTCTGTAAAATGGATAATTATTGTAGCCCTATAAGCATCATTTGGCAATAACCAATTTGACCAATATTAGTAGATAAAATGATTCCTTTCACTCCCAAACAATTGTATTAAGCAGCAAACAAAGATTTAAGGTATCAAAGTATGAGAAAAAGGAATGACATGATATGTACACAACAATATTCTCAGAGTTCTTTTTTTGAACATTTCAAAAGTGATGTAGACTACTATTTTTCTTAGTTGGATCTTTTCAGTTGTGTTTATTGAGTTGCTATTTTTTATATTGCAAATTATTTCCAAATCTAAGTGTCAACTGAGGACTTCTTATTTTGGTTTAATAAATAGAGAATAGTTCATCATACTAAGCTTGAACATGTTATTTCCCTTAAAAAATAAAAAATAAAATAGATTTCTAGGTACTTGTTTAATTTAATCATTTTACCATAATTTGTTCTTCAAAATTTAAAGACACCTGGAAGCTTGTTAATAAAAAATGTTTGAAGACTAGATTGTGGGATGCCATTGGACATGCATAAATTTGGATAATGACTTTCATGAGCGCATTAATTTCATTACCAGAAATTTATTTCTACTTCTATACAATATTAAAGTTCATTGTTCTAGACCAACAAATTGTTTCTATATTTTTGAAGTTATGGGAGCAAAAATTAGTTATGAAGTGCTATTTTACATTATTTTCTCACATAATCTGAACGTGCCAAGTTGCCGATGATCAAGACACATAAGAACTTTTGAGATGGATTGCAAATGTGAAATTCTGATTAATGAATTCATTGCTCAACGATTACTTTCATTAAAAGAGACAGTGTAAACATATGAATTGTGGCATTGACCATGCATATGTTGATCTTTGAAATTAATGTGGAGGGTTAATTTTGAGATATTGAAGCATAGTGCTCTGAATCTGATTGCTCATGGTATATATTGGATAGCTGTAATTAGGGTCTAGCAGATGGGACTTGATCTAGAATAAAATGGGCTTAAAGTGCTAGAATGCAACGTTATATACAATTATGTTTATGGTCAAAATGTATGATCCAGTATGACTTTTGAGATGCTAAAGTCGGTGATTATTTTTCAGTGTGCAGAAAATGTATGTAATATAGAAAGTATTGACAAAGTGCTAAAGGAAAATTCAGTCACAGATGATGCTTCTCAAAGAGGCTCCTGTTACAGATTATCTGAGAAATCTCCCAAAGTTGTGGACAAGTTTGAGCCAATTGACATTGAAGGTCAACGAAAGACTGGGATTTGGATTCAGCAGCCAGGTAGTGAGGTTGCACAAGTGTGGGAGCCACAGAAGGAGAAGAGTAGGCACCTGGAAACTCATCACCTTGATGGACAAGTTCAGGCTGAAGGTGGTGATCCAGCTGGATCTCAAGCATCAACCGCTAGTAGCACTGATGAAAGTATGGACAGTAATAAACCTCATTCAATAAATCCATTTTGAAGGGGCTTACGAAAGATCAACTCTGTGTTCCACAGGAGCCCACGAACCCCACAAACCAAGGAGAAATCGACGTGTCTCATTGAGTCTGAACCTGTAAAATCTCCACATGCTAATATTAAGGCCTTAAATAACAAGGAAATTGGTGTGAAATGGATAGTGGATGATACCATTACTACTCCTCATTCTGCAAAAGGCTCCAAAAGATTATGAAAAAGAGAATAGGGAACGAAATGGGCCAGACAGTCCACAAAACGGGAATGCAAAGGATATGGCCAAGGGCATTTTGAATAATAACGGAAAAAGATTGAAATATGCACTTTCTCGAAAAGAATCAAGTCAATCTAGAACTGACGCGGTATCGACGTCATCAGATAATGACACTGCTTCATAGTATGATTCTTCTGAAATATCATCTCTTCCATCAACAACAGACGTTACACTTGGGGTTACTGATTTAGTCATTCCAAGTTTAGTTGTTTATAGTGCAGCATCTCGTTTCGGCAATGACTCTATCAAGATCGAGGACAATGTCAATCAAACTGATACCCTTTCGGGTACTAATTCTTTCAAGTCCAAGGATGATATTGTTCAGACTCGAAATGAGCCTACAATAAATAGTATGGAACAGAAAACCAAAGTCATTCCAAAAAGAAATGAGCCTATACTAAATAGTATTCAAATGAAAACCAAAGCCATCGCAAAAGATTCTGAGACGATAAATCGATAACAAATCTGAAATGATGAACTGGTTAACTCACATAGACGGAGTGGATGAATAGTTATAACAGTTTGTAAAGGCATATACAGAAAGATGTTTGGATTGAAACGTACCTTTAGTAAACAGTAGATTTATTTTTATTTTTTATTTTGGTTGTTTGGGTATATTAGTTGTTATGGTGTTGTGTCTGGTGTATATGTTGTTATGTTGGACTTATTTAGTTGAAGTTTTTACTTAAATTTGTGCAGTATTCGTACATGTTGCTTACAACTTTTCATAAATTTGTGCACTTCTGGTAAAATTGTACTATGTTTGTGCATCTTTCCACTTTTTATTAGGCATTGCACCAAGCAAATTTGATAATAACTTTATTACCTACCTAACCTATTTTAATTAGGACAAATAATTCCTTTGCTGCTTACCAACACCAAACATCGGTTCTTGCCGAAGTCAAGAGCCATATGAATAACTTTATTGAGTGAATATGAATTTAGCTTCAACATTGAATATTTGGTGCATTGCTAATGAAAGTCCCGTTTGACATGGCTTTTACTTTTTCTAGAAGAGTTTTTGGAAAAAATTACCTTAATTTTTGTTTGAAAATTAATATTTAAAAGCACTTCCCATTCAAGAAAGTACTTTTAAAGGAAGCCACATTGAACTAACTTCCTTTAAGAGTTCTTCCAACTACCAAATGAACCTTCACCAAATAAGCCAAATGGATTCAAAACTAGCTTTTGAATATGTAAGAACTTTCACAAAATTAGCCAAACGAGTTCAAAAACAGCTTTTGAATCTCAAAAGCTACTTTTAACTTTTCAAAAGCCATATAAAATTGTCACGAAGACAACTTGTAATCCAGGTTGGATGATCCTCTTAAAAATTCGTGTCTTATCTAAAAGGTAAATCACCTAGCTTGGAGAGCACTTGTAACCCAAAGTGTGCACCATCATATTTGTTGGCAAGTGCATTTTACCTAATAAATTTTCAATATACTCTAGTAAGATTTCAAGAATATATAATGAGTTGAAAACCTATTTATTTATATCTTTAGAAGGACCAAACTTCGTAAATGAGTCACTTAACAAGTAACTGACGAAGTTTCCACGGTATTACACAAGTTGGTACAAAGTACTAACTATGTTGATGAACATCAGCCAATTCTTTGTCCATCGTTCTGTTCCCACTACAAGAGAGAATCACAATACTAAACATTAGGGGCTCAAAAGTCCGTATTTAAAATTTGAAGGTTGAACACGCGATTAGCCAAACGATCTAAATGTTGGGAACTGTTTAAGCACTTCATGAAGAAAAGAAACAACCCCCCATCCCAACCCCAAACCCAGAGTCATCTCCAATCTGAATCGTAAAACGGAAAAAGAAATATTGAATTTGCTACCCAGCTGCCTATTACATTTCCTTCATTTAAATCTACTGGGAAGATCTCCACCTATATTCTTACACTAGGAAAAAAAATAGTTACATGGCTTTATGTTTCTATGGCAATTCTTGAAAACATCCTAACATTTGCTGGATAAACTGAATAATCATCACATTCTTCATATGTTCCTTTTATTCCTGGACTTGTAGGTAGTAATATGTTCTGTTTCCTGCAGGAAGGTGCAAGCAATGGACACACTACATCGACAGTATAAATAAATTTGAATCTGTGCTTGTCAAAAGTTGGATTGAGATCTCAACCTCACTCATTGAATGGGCTCATCTCCTCTCAGTTGTTTCAATATGAACTAGAGAAATGGAAGACACTCCCTGTCCAGAGTCTAGACATAGATCTGTCAACTATTTTGATAGGACAAAGAGCAACAATTAAACAATGTGATGATCTTTGGGTTCTTACATGACTAATTTTTTATGATTTCTTCGTAATAAATATGATCAGGATTAATCATATGACTATTCAAGAAAACACAATGAAGAGCTCGCTTCCATATTCCCATTTTTGGCCCAAATCCATGCCTTATCATTTGCCTCAACGCCCAATCTAAATCTTCCCCAAGATTCTCACTACAAAAACCATGTATCACCAACTTATAAGACTCAAAGCTCGTTATCAACCCTCTGTCACTCATCTTCCTCATAAAATCCTTTGCTTCAACAAACCTCTTCGCATCAAGCAAACAATACAAAACCTCTTGATAAGTCCCCGAATTTGGATCACATCCTTTTAGCATCATCTTGTCGAAAAGCTTAATCCCCTCTTCAACTCTTCCTCGTTTCCTGAGCCCCAAAATCAAGATGTTAAACACTATTGCATCTGGCTCCACACCCTCCATTTCCATCCTTTCCAACAAATTAAAGGCTTCATCAAGATGACCACGCTCACAAAGCCCATGCATCATAGTCGAAAAGGTACGCACATTAGGCCTGCATTTTTGCTTAGGAAATTCATCAAGCACGGAGAAAGCAGCTTCCATCTGCCCACACCCACACAACCCTTTAATGATGATATTCAAACAACAAGCGTCAATCTCTACACCCAACTCCGAAGCTCCCATGTAAATGTCGTGCAAAACATCAAATTGTTTGGTTGAGACTAGCAAATTCAACACAAAGTTCAAGGTTTTCACACTTGGCCAGCTTTTGTAATTAGGCATATCGAAGAGGGTTTCAATGGCCCTGTTTATTCTCCCAGCTGAATGCCAATAAGGATTTTGATTGGGAATTATTTAAATTGGTTTTGCAAAATAGGAGATTACACGTGAATAAATAATAGGAAGAAATGGGTATTATCAAATGATACAAATAAAGTGGGTTAAAATTATATAAATTAGTGGGCTAAAGATTAAAACAAAAAAATAGTTGAGGTGGACTAGTCCATTGAATTTTATTGTTAGTGGGCTAATAGACTACAATTCATATGCAATTTTTTTTTAAAGCATCTGGGCCTAGTCAACAGTGGGCTCGTCCCTGGTGGTTGCTGCGGAAGGAAGATGAGGTTGGGGTTAGGTTAAATTGGGTTTTGGTATGGTGGGGTGGAATGGGTTGGAGGAGATGAACAGTTCATGTTCCTTTTATATTTTTATTTTTTATTTTAATTATTTAGAGGGAATTTACCGTACTTTGAACGAGGAAAAATAGTGTATGAATGAAACTGTCCCTCCTTAAAAGTTACTTCTACATTCAGTTAAAAGTTATAAAAGTAGTTCCAGAGATAAAACCATCTATTGGTTAAAAACAAGAGAAATAGCCAACACAATTCATTCTTCAAGCATCCAATTGTAGAAGGATGGATTAACAACCTTCATCATATTCTTGAAATTACATGCATAATTTTTCACAACTTGGCAAGGTAATAAATCTACATGATCTGCTGCCAAAATGGGGCTTGGTCAAATAGGATTCTGTTGCAGTGACGTTTAATAGAGAGAAATTCCAGGCAGTTCATCAGGTTTAATTACAAAATCTGTGTAGTTTGCATGTCTTTGACACAGAGCTAAAGGAAAAGCTTTATGCAAGCCTTCATCAAACCATTTCTGAATAAAGAATAAGTTCTCTAGGTTCAGAATAGCCACTTCCGATTGAGAAAATGCATCTTGGTCAACGCTACCAATATTTTTTTTTCTGGAGTGGAAACATCGATCGAAATAAACAACAAAACTCATGTAGGATGGATTGAGAAATTCAGAACCTATAAAAGTTGAATAAACTAGCACAAGCAGCAGAATACACAAAGTAAAGAAACAGCTAGGGGAGAAGAAGAAGGAGAGAAGGGGGGAGAAGAGAAGAAATGACGGTGGAAAAGAACACTCCTGCAATAGTCAATTCCTTCTATCATATATGTCTTTCCACTAAACATTACAAAGGCTATATATAGAACTACAAAATGTAAGAAAATGATTGGGCATGGGCAGCCCATGGGTAATACAAGTCCAAACATAGATGGATAATACAAGCCCAAAAGTATATGTCCTCATCAACTATCTCGAGGTGGGAGAAAAACTCGACTCTGTCGAGTAAACAAAAAGCAATGGCTATAGTCAATCAAATACTCAAAGTGTTCCAAATCAAGCCAAAGGGGACGATCTTTCTGACGAGCCAAATATCGAAACTCAATAAATGACGACAATGTCAGTTGCAAATTATCCCCAAGTTTATGATCTGACCACAGTGAACTTGGTAAAGCACGATCTTGTTGATTTCTATAAAACTTCAATAAATTTGGATCACTCTGCTTAAGTCTTTCTCCGAGAATCCATGTACCTTCAGAATCAAGTTGATTCACCCAACGAACAAGAAAGCATCGAATCTCTCTATCATTGGTCAACACAATTTGTTCATCTAAAATAACATCAATTTTATCTTTGTATGTTGTGACATACAACATTTGAATAGACCTAGCAAAAGACTCGGTGTGGGAGCTCCCATGTGGAGATAGAAAAGGATCATCAAGAGGGTCAAAATAGCATTTATAAGCAATGTAGTCCTTTACAAATAAAATAGGGTGGTGGTCACAATGTGATGAAAGATTATTGATATATGCATTTGGACCAACATACTTTAAAATTTCATAAGGACCAGCATTACGGGCTTGCAATATAACATAATCCATAATATTAAATTCAAAATGTCGTTTATGCAAATCAACTCGAAGTTTATATGATGCATTATTTGTTTCAAGTTGTTTATTGATCTCAATATGTCATGCAGATGTGGTACAACTACCTCATTTGACATCAACGTGCTAGCATGTGGGGACATGAGAATAACATCTAAGGGTCTCCCAGGCTTAAAACCATGACTATCTTTAAAGAGATTTAGACCTAGAGATCGATTTACAGAAGTGTTATATGCAATTTGAACAGTTGGGGGATCAAGTCCCAATTTCCAAAATTTTTCTGGACTAGAGACTTGAATAAATTGCTAGGACTTTGGTTAACAACCTCATTTTAACCATCAGTCTGAGGTTGGTCTGCAGTGGAGAATTTCGATTTAGTGCTAGCCATATGCGATTGGGTTCTCCAAAAGTTCCTAGTGAAATCATAGGATATAGTATCTAAGTCTCAGGAAGAGTTTAGATGCCACTTAAGGATGTGTCCTCACTATCATCATCAACATCTTCAAGTTTAGGTTCATATACTAGATCTTCTAACGACTCTTCTATTACATTCTATGACTAAGGCTCGCTTAGGACATTTGAAAGAGATGTGGCCAAAATCCTTACAGCTGATGCATAGCAAGTGAGAAGAAGTCCTTGGAGTTTCAAAAATTTTACCCTTATTTTCCATGGTTGGAGGAACATTAGACGGGAGAGATCCTAGAAGGGACTTAACGGGAGGAAGTGGAGCCAATGAAACAGATGAATGGTTGTCAATACGCCTTCTATATGGAGAGGGGGGCTTGGACTATCACGAACTTTACACCTATTTTCCCAAATGGGAGAAGCACTAGATGGGGAAGTTTTTATGACAGACTTATGTTGAGGTGGCTCTAATGATATGGGTGAATGATGGTTATCGCGCTTTTCATATGGAGTACTAATAGTCAACTCATAATCTCATACTAAAGAATAAGCGTGATCAAGAGTAGTGACACCTCGAAGGAAAAGTTCACGCCTAAAATCATCTCTTAGACCTTGGCTAAACCTATTCAAAGTTGTGATCTCATCCTTAATGACATGACATCTGGTTCGAAATTCCTCAAATTATGCAATATACTCAGTCACTAACCGATTCCCTTGTTTAAGAGCAGTTCATTGAGCAAAAACTTCAAAATCTAAGCAACCATCAAAAGTAGGAGTGTCTAATTTAATGCCCCTAAAGAAACTCTCCTTATGACGAGAAAGTGAATGAATACTGTAACGATTACAACTTCGTTCTTGCTCACAAACTTGATCCCTATCCCTACGATCGTATTGGAAGCATTTTTTATGACTCTGTCGATGATGATATTGTCTATTACGGATCACTTTAGATTTATGAACGTCAGTCGAATAAGGGATTTGATTAAAATGGCTCATTTTAGCAGCTAAGTTCTTTCTCTCCTCACGAGTAGCAGCTATATCGGATTGGACAGTCACTAATTGAGTTTGAAACCATTGTTGATTAATGACAAGTTGGGCTAATTGTCGTGATAGTGCATCAAATTGGGAAGGATCTATGGTCAAAGTATTAGCACTAGAGATGACAAGATTACCACCCGCAATTGCATGCAATGTACTAACAACTAAATGCAACATATGAAGAGATCAATGAACAACAATTGCACATAAAGACAATAAAAACTTGAGCAGTTACGATTTTTTTTTTGTGGGATTATGTAGATCCTAATAAGGCAAGCTAATATTGCTGATCTATGTAAAATAACAAAGCACGGGTCAAATACTAGTCAACAACGTAATGACGTAAAAGGTTAAAAATGAAAAGTGAATAAGACGAGTTTGAATAGATCTAGGGTGTCGGTTATGTGAATTTTAGGTAAAAGTGAGGAATACCGCAGCACAAAGAAATTAATTAATGTAATTCTAAAGTAAACAGTAATATAAACCAAAAATAGATGAAATAGTAACTTCCCTCATTCATGGAGACACTGTATTGATTCGTTGAGATGTCAAGACAGAAAATTCTCGTGTTTGTTGAGACGTGGCACTCATCAGTCAAAGTAAAATATACCTGCAAAACAATGTTAGGAAATTCTCAATTTTTTTTCTCTCTTTTTTTTACCCTCTTTTTTTTGTTTGTCACTTTCTCTTTTTTGTCTCTCTCTCTCTCTCTTTTTCTTTCTATGTTTTTTTTAAAGCTTACAAAATCAAATAAGTAAAGTTGTTACAAATCAAGGTCCAACCACCAATAGAGGCCCAAAACACACACTGCCTTAAATAACATATGGCCCAACTTTAATACAGCCCAAATACAGCTAAGGCCCAAAATCAATAGAGGTTGAAATCACAATAACCCAAAATCTGGAGCTGGCTGTTCAATGAAAATGCGACGTGGGATGTGGTAATTGTGGAGTCGAGATTCTACGAATTTGGAGGTGGTTGGCGAAGGAAAACTTTGATAGCTTGGGTCATCAGTTGAGGGACAGCGGGCGGCTGGTTACGATTATGAAGGTATGGCAATGGAGTTGGGTTTCAAACAGATGCTAGAATGGTAGGAGTGGAAGTGTTTGGCGGTTGAATCGGATTTGTGTAGAAGTGCGAGATGTGTTTTAATTGGGCTTGGTTGGATTTTTTAAGTATGGCGACGTGATTACTGGCAGCGGCTGAGGTCGGGTTGGGGATTGTGTATGTATGGGCTGTTACTGTTGACATGGTAAAGGAGATTTGGGTTTAGGTTGTTGATTTTAATGGTGGTGGTCACGAATTTATAGGGTCGCGATTTGGGGAAGTTACTGACACGTACTTTTATCGGTCACGAGTGTGGTGTGGTTGGAGTAGTGGGCAGTGTGGTGGGAGTTACGTGTGGGCTGGTGTTGTAGTGGTTAAAACAAAGGAAGAGAAGGCAGCGATGACAGAAGTGAAGGAGTAATATGACAGTAAGGTTCATGGGAAGAGGTGGAGAAAGACATCAACCATTCCCAGTTTTCCAGTTTGAAAATTTGAGCAGCCTCTTGATGAAATAAACCAGGTTTTAGCTCTGATACCACTTTGATGTGGGATGGATTGAGAAATTCAGAACCTATAAAAGTTGAATAAACTAGCAGAAGCAGCAGAATACACACAGTA